GGTTTTATCGAAATCGGTTCAGTAGTTTTGGAGCATGGGCTCGTCTGCTTTTAAGGGGGTGTATGGTTCTGGACCATTTTGGTCCGATTGGTCCAGTCAGAGTGAACCAATCGCCAAAAAACGATAAACGGCACCTATATGAGTTCCCTGCTATTGAATGGTGAAAGAATTATCAAAATCGGTCCAGTAGTTACTGAGCATGGGCTCGTCTGCTAATCTCGTCTGCTTTTTAGACACTCCCTCCCGAAGTCTCCGGGGGCATCATCCCGAAGTCTGTCTTTCTCTCTGGGGGCACCATTCTGAGGTCTCCGGGGGCACCATTCCGAAATCCGAGGTCTGAAGGAGCACTCTCCTCGGGTCAGAGAAGGCACCATTCCGAAAATTAAGTGGCCGAAATCCGTGGATTTTTTTAGGGGGGGGGGACACCAGATGCCAGGGGGCACCACAATACCGTATGCCCCCCCCCCCCTTCCCCTTGACGAAATCCTAGATCCAGGGGCGGCGCCACGGGTTTTCGATAGGGGGGGACGGGGACCTGCCTGACCGAAAATTCCAAAAGTAGGTAGATACTGATCGTGTATGCAAAAAAAAACGAGGCACGTAACGCCGCGAAACTTGGTAAAGCCCAAAACACATCGAATGGTGCATCCCGTTTCCAAACTTATCCTAGGACACCTAAGATCGATCACCTTTTCAAGCATCCTTGCCTCTAAATCAAAATTTGCAGTCTTGCCAACTCAAAGCTGGTTTCCTACAAGCTGCGAATTACTTAGGTATGATGAGTAGCAGTGCCAACCATTCTTACGTTTCGTACTTTCAAATTTTCAATCTTACGTCTGGTCAGCTTCATGGCTTCACCATCATATAGTCATGGAGGAAAAGTGGGAATGTCTTCTGCTCTGACAAGTGCGCCAAAACTGCAATATAATTTCAGAATCATGACATCACCACCACCACCTGATCCATATGCAACGGGCAGGGTGCAGCTAATGGCTAGCCGTCAGTGGTCATGTCATCGGTGGTCACTCAAAAGGTCATGCTAGGTCATGGAAGGTCACCAGCCATTATTTGATCACACTTTCTGATGGATTTTACTTACCAAGAGCTTCGCGGGAAAAACGAGCGCATGCATCGTTGAAAAAAAAAATGAGTGAAAGGGTCTCAGGTCCGGCGACCTCTGCAGGTGAAATGCCCCAGGGTAGGATTCCGATTTTCACAGCCGCTGACGTAAGAAGGGGAGTGGGGGGTTGGCTCGATTAGACTCCCAGCCGTTCGGCCGCCGACCGAACTTAGTTTTGCAGAAAAAAAACGAGTGCTATCGAACCCCTTGACGAGAGGGAGCCGATGCTACCCAATTATAAGGTCTTGGGCTACTGCGTGCTTTTTTTGGTCCTGCCTGTGATCTATCCGAACACTTCTCCCCACAAGTGCTGGGGTTAAATGGCATAGATTTCAAATGGTTCCTGTGGTAGAACTGCCATGCTTGAATTCGACTAATTAGGAATGGAAAATATCCATATAGTAGCGGAAATCTATGGAATTTCAGTAAACTTGGTTTTGTCGGCAATGGGGTCTGGCAGTGGGATGGGGAGGTAATAACCCTGCCTGGCGCCCCAAAAAGGGGGGGGGGGCACGATCCCCGAGGCCCTGCCGATCACCTTATAACTACAGGCATCACAGCTCCACACCTTTTGCAGATGGCCAGGACCTCCTGCGATACATCACAACAGCAATCTTTATTCAGAACCTGCCTTGATTAACCAACGATGCATTAAATGCGACGGATAACTCTACAATGCATTATTATCAATTATTGAACGGGCCTCGCCGATAGGGGGGTACTGTACCCCCCTAACTTTCGATAGCGGGGGACCTGTCCCCCCCGTCCCCCCCGGTGGCGCCGCCCATGCCTAGATCCGCCACTGTCTATGAGATGATTGATGTAGCCGTTGACCGTTATTTAAAGCCATGCAGTTCCCGGTGCCTATATTTGGGGCCGGACGGATGCCAGCTCCTCTTGCGCCTACAACACGGCTAAGTTCAACATAACGATAACTAATAGGTACTCACTTCTCAGATCGCGGTAAGACATGGCTCGGAATCCTTGTCACTGGGCGTCTTGCAATCGACTATGGTAGGTATATCGTAGAATCGACACTCGTGTTGTCTATTTACCTAAACTTTCTAAACCATTTCTAAATGCATACAAATTAACTATGAAGTTAATCAGTAACAGCACGGCGCATCAATCGTCTGCTTAGCTCCCGCTGAGTGCTAGTGACATCTATCGTAAAACTCGTAAACTAATTTCATCAATAACTATTGGAGGAGGCCTGAATTATTGCCGATAAAAATGATTCAATATTAAACATACTTAAAAAATGACCTTACGTTTTCCACGCGCTCGTTTTACTTTTCAAAATTATTTCAAAGCAACTTAGACTTTTTATGAGATGAATAGCAATAATTCATATATAAACTGCACTAGGGCGCTTGTGGCGCTGGTAAAGAATGGCGCAAACATTGTTTATCCTTGGTTTATCCCCAACTCCCCCCCCCCCCCCAGTTCCTTTTGTGGGTTTGCAAGGGCTTTTCTGTGAGTTGTGTTTCGAGGTGGATGGTAGGATGTTTTTCGTTAATGTCTGGTAACACTCCATATTTTTTTGTGTGGTATTATTTAATTTAAATGTGTCGATTTGATTCCAAGTTAAGTCAAGCATCATTTGACTGCATACATACCGTAATGAGTCGTGAGTGTGCTGTAAGGTTTTTTAAAATTTTGTTTCAGTCTTGTTTGAATGTATTTATTGTATTTAATTTGCCCACATTCTATTTTATTATTTGTCATTTCACTTTTTTTGCTACAATTGTATCATTTTTTTCCTTCTACTTCAACCTATTTTTTGGCTTCTTTTTCGAAAGTCAAAGTGTGTGCTTCTTCGTTGTGATTCATTACCCTTGTTAATGATTGGGGAATGAGGATGAGACTTGAGGCCAATTTTATCAGCTAAAATGACTGGTTGTGGCTATTTTTTGCCTCATTCAAAATACATTTTCCAACGGATGGCTATTTTTGTATTTGCTGAATCCAGATCAAGGCTGCAAAGTAGGGGATTCTTGATAAGATTTTGTGGGTGCAGGGGCGTGCTGCTGGTGTAAATAGGTACAGGGGCAGTGGGGGCAGCCTTCCCCACAACTTTTCCTCGACTCAGTTGAGACAGATTACATGTTTTTTTTGCAAATGTTCTCATTTTGTTTGTTTTGTTGATAAGGCCAAGGGGTGAAAAATAAGTGGCCTAAAACTGGTGAGAAAATTAGATTTGGGGATACTCTAGGTTCCGGGAACTGGGAAGTATCAGATATGTGACATCTGATAATTCCGTCCCTTCTCTCTCCCCCCCCCCCCCGCCCCAGCCTGAAAGTAGTTCCTTTGCCACTACTGGTCTGTGGTTAGTGAGGATTTACCATAATTATAGTGCAGTGCAGAATTTTTGTTGAATGATGCAGGCCCTTAGTGGACTGGGAATGCTGGATGAAAAATGCTACAATTCAGTCGGGGAAACTATGGTAAAATCTGCTATTTTTAGCAGTCTGCTATTTTTAGCAGAAATCTGCTAAAAATGGGTACGCATGTGACGTCATCGTACCCAAATATAGCAGATTTGTGTACGGCCCCATACAAAAGCAGATCTGCACCCTAATTGAAGCAAATGCGCATCAAATGCCTGGCAGATTCATGATGAGAATAGTGCTGAGAGTGTTCTCTGCTATTTTTGTTCAGATCCGACTATTTTCAAATTCATTATTTGAAAATAGTCGGATCTGAACAAAAATATCAGAGGACATACTCAGCACTATTCTAATCATGAATCTGCCAGGCATTTGATGCGCATTTGCTTCAGTTAGGGTGCAGATCTGCTTTTGTATGGGGCCGTACCCAAATCTGCTATATTTGGGTACGATGACGTCACATGCGTACCCATTTTTAGCAGATTTCTGCTAAAAATAGCAGACTGCTAAAAATAGCAGATTTTACCATAGTTTCCCCGACTGAATTGCAACATGCATTTGTAGCAATGCTAGCTGCATCACCATATGCTCAGAAATCATAAAGTAACCATGGAAAACCATCACAAACACACTGCTGCTCATGCTTCTCTAAGGGATGATCCCTCATCCCTCTCCCATCCCTCTCCCAATGTTTAAATGAAATAAAACAACCAAAACTACTATGGGCGTCAAACCCCTTGAGACCCCACTTTTTTGCGATAATTTTTAAATGCGTGAACTCTGGTTGACGATATTCTGGCAATGTGTGTTTCAGAACCTGCCGAAACTTTTATTACTGAGGTATTTTGACGCCAAACGATTATGAAAGGTACTTCTCATTCACTCGTAATGCTAAGGTCAATTCAGGCCCGGGCAGAGGCTTGCGTTCGGCCATACTCGAGCCCCGCCACCAGCGCCATCTGCTCTTAATGTCATCTACCAGCGCCCGCTACCGCTACCAGCTACCGCCCAACATCAAGCCCATGGATGGAGCGCAAGACGCGAGTGACCGGACGCCGGGCAAGGAGCGCCGGAGGGGTAGGGTGGAGCTTAGCACTGACGTCATTACGTGGCTCCGCCCCATGAGCGCGTAGCCTCTACCCAAACAGCAGATTCGTTCCGTGAAATTTAACATTACGAGTGAATGAGAAGTACCTTTCATACTCGTTTGGCGTCAAAATACCCTAGTAATAAAAGTTTTGGCAGGTTCTGAAACACACATTGCCAGAATATCGACAACGATAGCTAACGCATTTAAAAATTATCGCAAAAAAGTGGGGTCTCAAGGGGTTTGACGTCCATAGTAACCTAACCTGACCTAACCTAAGCTAACCCAACCTTGCTTAGCTAAATTTAATCAAACCAAACCTAATCAAACTTATCAAAACCTAATCTCACCTACTGTGCTGTTACAGTTACCAGTGATGTCATCAAATAGATGGACCAGATACCTCTGCACTCATTACCTTATGATTCAAAGCTCTGATTGCATGAGAGTGTAAACTACTTAATGAAAGGCAGCAGTGCTACTGGCAAAGCTTGATGTGTAGTCAATTAATGTAAGTTATATTGTAAATAATGATGGTATATTGTGCTTCACTGACTAAAAGAAGAGTGCTCCTTCATTATATGACTTTTCTAATTGTTGCAAGATTTGTAGGGCAATTAATATAGCTCCTGTGCTGAACTGCTGCGCAGGGTGTTGCATTGCCTGGCCAATGATTCATCTCAGCAGGGCTGGCCAGGGAAGATTTGAACTTTATTCACTGTTTTGTCCTCTCACTAGTGTAGATATATAGTTTTTGTAGTGATTTGATGATAGATGAGCATTGACATAAATTATTCATGTCATTGCAGAATATTTCACTCAAGCAGCTGACAAAAGAGGCAAAAGATAATCAGTCATGCCTGCACCTGTGGTGGATGATGAAAATGGCTATTCTCCTTTGGTGAGTGTCTTTTTGAAGCATTACTTGCATAACATAAACTGTTTCAATTACAATAATTGTAATTTTTGCAAGCATTCATTATGAGCAGGGTGTTATTTCTGCTAGTGTAAAATGATAAGCAATTAGCAAGGTACAAATTAACTTCATGCCAGTGAATATAAGAAGACATTTAGTTTTGGCTCTAGTACATTAACCTAACTCCTAAGATGCCACTTACCATACCATGCTTGTGTCATATCATAGAGATTTCACATATATTGATTTTGATTTTGTTTCTAGATGAACTGTGATAAAATTAAAAAAAGTGTGTTAACATTAGGATATTGGACAATGCATGCCTGTAGGTAATTAAGTAAGTGTAATATTTCAAGCTCACTGGAATATGTGAAGTCTGAAAAGTAAGCTCATATGCTTGTAGGTAATATGTAGGACCTCTTCTTATTCCTTTATGGATACAAATACTATGTATTGGATCTAAGGACCTTGTTGATCTTTTTTCTTCGTCTCCAGATGGGCTTGGTGTATGTGTTCAATCTGATAGTGGGCACTGGTGCCCTGACTCTGCCTGCTGCCTTCCTGGAGGCTGGATGGGCACTCAGCCTCTGCCTGATCATCATGCTGTCCTTCATGAGGTATGTCTGATGAATTCATAAAATATTACCTGTCACATATCATCGAACCATGCTATTTGACTCATCATATTCTCAAATATTCTCAATGAGTGTGTAAACCTGTTGTTTCATGGCTGTTTGATATATCTGAGACAGCTATCTTTGTGATAGTCACTAGTCATGTGCTCTCATGAGTGCTCTCAGCGTCTAACATCGCGCTCTTTCCACTGACAGCTACCTGACGGTGACGTTTGTGATTGAGGCGATGGCAGCGGCCAACGCCATCATACACTGGCGCCGACAGCGGCAGCTGAAGCGGGTGAGTGCTGCGGAGTCCGCGCCGGCTCGGGCGCCAGTGCCGGTTTGAGGTGGGTGGCTGATCGTCGGCTATGAGCCGCCCGTCCTGTCAGTGGCTCAGTAATCACCGTTCTCTGCTCTGATGTGAAACTTTCAGCAGTGCTTATTTAACCGTGCTGGATACTGAAGTGATGTCCTTCAGTATCGCAAGCTGTGTGCAGTCCCTTCCCCTCTCGCTTCTGAGATGGTCGCCGCACCGCACCACCTTACGAGCTCGGACCTAGGTGCCGGCTCACCACTGCACTGCGTTGCACAGTTCTGAGTCTTCTCTCACCGCGCCGCACCGTAGCGTCCACACCAGTGACCAGAGCGCCTATGACCGGGACTGACCCTTCGGCGGTCGTTCCGATCGTGTCCCTGACCCACCTTTGACCCTGCTGCCTTCCCCAGGCCGGCTCCCCTGAGTCGCCACGCAGACTCGTTCCTCTGGAAGCCATTGTATGTAGCCGACCGGCCGGCTGTCCCGTGATCTCTCTGTAGTAACGCTCGGGCGCACGAGACCCCTGTGAACCCGCACATTGCGTCATGTCTCATCCTCCTGCCTGACCGCATGGCTGAGTAGCTGGCTATTTAGCTGAGCGGGGCTGAGTACTGCCTGTTGATTCGGCTAGCAAGTAGCTAAGGCGATGAACTTATAACGCATGGGTATTGGGCCAGGGTTAATTACAGCATTATATGCCATACTTTTATCAGTTCAATTATCGGATCGCACTGGGTTTCGTCACGTGTGCCCTTTTTTTGATGCAAAGTGTGCATTCAGCCGTTACCATGCGAGCTCACTTTGTGCTTGCTAGCGGGCAGTGAGATTGATATTTCGGTTGCCGATTCGGTATGGAGTGGTGCTGAATATGCCAAACATTTACAACACGAAGCGAAGCGTGACTTTATCTACTATTATAAATCTTAAAAAGTCCGCCGCCGCCGCCGTCGGGGTTACGCAGTCGGTGTTACTCCCAAAAACGCTTATTGCGGCGCCGTCGATTGACGCAGGAGGGTGAAATTTTCACGACTCGTGGGTCACGTAATTCAACAGGACGTATTAAATTTTGGGCACGATGCGGCCAGGGGTGCACCCGTGGCGCGTGCTCATGTGCGCCATAGGGTTAGCATTAGAATCGCGACCGGCACCGAGCAGAGGGCACGTGCTTTAGGCTCAGTTGTTCGCTTAAAAACTGAGTGAAAAGCATCAGAGCCGGCAGGTCATTGACCTTTGACAACGAAGGCCAACACAGGGCACCGCTCGCCAAGGGGATTCGCCAGTAAATACAATTAATTTGCTTTTGCAATATCTCAGCCGTTTCTGGGATGATTTAGCTGAAACTTGGACTGTCGGTGGTAGTATATGGTAGGGTAGGGTAGGGTAGGGTAGGGTAGGGTAGGGTAGGGGTAGGGGTAGGGGTAGGGTAGGGAAGGGTAGGGTAGTGTAGGGGTAGGGTAGGGTAGGGTAGGGTAGGGTAGGGTGGGGTGGGGTGGGGTAGGGTAGGGTAGGGTAGGGTAGGGTAGGGTAGGGACTAGGGTAGGGTAGGGTAGGGTAGGGTAGTGTAGGGGTAGGGTAGGGTAGGGTAGGTTAGGGTAGGTTAGGGTAGGGTAGGGTAAGGGTAGGGTAGGGTAGTGTAAGGGTAGGGTAGTGTAGGGTAGGTTAGGGTAGGGTAGGGTAGGGTAGGGTAGGGTAAGGTAGGGTAGTATGGTAGGGTGTGGTAGGGTAGGGTAGGGTAGGGTAGGGTAGAGTTAGGTATGGTAGGGTAGGGTAGGGTAGTAGGGTAATAGGGTAGGGTAGGGTAGGGTAGGGTAGGGTAGGGTTGGGTAGGGTAGGGGTTGGGTAGGGTAGGTTAGGGTAGTAGGGTAGGGTAGGGTAAGGTAGGGTAGGGTAGGGTAGGGTAGGGTGGGGTAGGGTAGGGTAGGGTAGGGTAGGGTAGGGTAGGGTAGGAGTAGGGTAGGGTAGGGTAGGTAGGGTAGGGTAGGGTAGGTAGGGTAGGGTAGGGTAGGGTGGGGGTAGGGTAGGGTGGGGGTAGGGTAGGGTAGGGTAGGCTAGGGTAGGGTAGTGTAGGGGTAGGGTAGGGTAGGGTAGGGTAGGGTTGCGTTCAGTAACATATCCTAACTTACAAAGGGCTCGAACAACTCGTATGCATCACCATCATACTCTACAGTTCAATTACAAGCAGTTACCCAGTTCTACAAAAATCATACCAATAAAAATGCAAGTTTCTACACCCAAACTAATGCATCCGTTAATCATTACATATAAAAACATACAGTTATCGCGTAAACCTGTACCTCTAGTAAATCTTAAAAAGTTCGCCGCCGCCGTCGGGGTTACTCCCTAAAAGGCTTATTGCGGCGCCGTCGATTGACGCAGGAGGGTGAAATTTTCACGACTCGTGGGTCACGTCATTCAACAGGTCGTAATAAATTTTGGGCACGATGCGGCCGGGGGTGCGCCCGTGGCGCGTGCTCACGTGGTGTGCCATAGGGTTTACACTGGAATCGGCAACAGGCTATTGCTCGGGAACGGTAAGGGCTACGGGGGTGAAATTTTCGCTGTAAGTCGGACGCGTGCACTAATTTGTCGTATTAAATTTTCGAGGGGGTGGGTTCAGCGGTGTGCACGTGTTAGGGCCGCGACCGGCGCCGAGCAGAAGGCACGTGCTTTAGGCTTAGTTTCTTCGTTTGCAAAACTGAGCGAAATCAGAGCCGGGAGGTCGTTGACCTTTGGCAACGAATACCGACGCCGGGCACCGCTCGCCAAGAGGATTCGCCAGTAAATACAATTAATTTGTTCTTGCAATATCTCAGCCGTTTCTGGGCCGATTTAACTGAAACTTGGACTGTCGGTGGTAGTGTAGGGTAGTGTAGGGTAGGGTAGGGTAGGGTAGGGTAGGGTAGGTTAGGGTAGTGTAGGGGTAGGGTAGGGTAGGGTAGGGTAGGGTAGGATAGGGTAGGGTAGGGTAGGGTAGGGTAAGGTAGGGTAGGGTAGGGTAGGGTAGGGTAGGGTAGGGTAGGGTATGGTAGGGTAGTTGGGTAGGGTATGGTAGGGTGGGGTAGGGTAGGGTAGAGTTAGGTAGGGTAGAGTTCAGTAGGGTAGGGTAGGGTAGTAGGGTAGGTTAGGGTAGTAGGGTAGGGTAGGGTAGGGTAGGGTAGGGTAGAGTAGGGTAGGGTAGTAGGGTAGGGTAGGGTAGTAGGGTAGGGTAGGGTAGGGTAGTAGGGTAGGGTAGGGTAGGGTAGGGTGGTAGAGTAGGGTAGGGTAGGGTAGGGTAGGGTAGGGTAGGGTAGGGTAGGGTAGGGTAGGATAGGGTAGGATAGGGTAGGGGTAGGGTAGGGGTAGGGTAGGGGTAGGGTTGAGTTCAAAAAGGGCCCAACATACAAAACACTTGAACACCCCGCAACTATCACCATCCCTTACAGTTCAATTAAAAACAGCTACCCAAATCTACCCAAATAATACTGCTAAAAATACAAGTCAATGACCCAAAACTAATGCACCCGTAACATAACATAAATCAAAACATACAGTTATCGCGTAAACCTGTACCTCTAGTCTACTATTTATAAATCCTAAAAAGTCCGCCGCCGGTTACTCCCAAAAAGGCTTATTGCGGCGCCGTCGATTGACGCACGGGGGTGAAATTTTCACGACTCGTGGGTCACGTCATTCAACAGGTCGTATCAAATTTTGGGCACGATGCGGCCGGGGGTGCGCCCGTGGCGCGTGCTCATGTGCGCCATAGGGTTAGCATTAGAATCGGCAAAAACAGGCTATTGCTCGGAAACGGTAAGGGCTACGGGGGTGAAATTTTCACGCCAAGTCGACCGCGTGCACTCATTTGTCGTATTAAATTTTCGACGGTGTCGGTTCAGCGGTGTGCACGTGGTGGGGCCGCGGTCGGCGCCGAGCAAAACGCTCGTGCTTTAGGCTCAGTTGTTCGCTTAAAAACCTGAGTGAAAATAATCAGACAACGAAGGCCGACACAAGGCACCGCTCGCCAAGGGGATTCGCCAGTAAATACAATAAATTTGTTTTTGCAATATCTCAGCCGTTTCTGGGCCGATTTAGCTGAAACTTGGACTGTCGGTGGTAGTTTAGGGTAGTGTAGTGTAGGGTAGTGTAGGGGTAGGGGTAGGGAAGGGTAGGGTAGGGTAGGGGTAGGGTAGGGTAGGGTAGTAGGGTAGGGTAGGGTAGGGACTAGGGTAGGGTAGGGTAGGGTAGGGTAGGGTAAGGTAGGGTAGGGTAGCGTAGGGTAGGGTAGAGTTAGGTAGGGTAGAATTAGGTAGGGTATGGTAGGGTAGGGTATAGTAGGGTAGGTTAGGGTAGTAGGGTAGGGTATGGTAGGGTATAAGGGTAGGGACTAGGGTAGGGTAAGGTAGGGTAGGGTAGCGTAGGGTAGGGTGGAGTTAGGTAGGGTAGAATTAGGTAGGGTAGGGTAGGGTAGGGTATAGTAGGGTAGGTTAGGGTAGTAGGGTAGGGTATGGTAGGGTAGGGTAGGGTAGGGTAGGGTAGGGTAGGGTAGGGTAGAGTAGGGTAGGGTAGTAGGGTAGGGTAGGGTAGGGTAGAGTAGGGTAGGGTAGTAAGGTAGGGTAGGGTAGGGTAAGGTAGTAGGGTAGGGTAGGGTAGGGTAGGGTAGTAGGGTAAGGTAGGGTAGGGTAGGGTAGGGGTAGGGTAGGGTAGGGGTAGGGTAGGGGTAGGGTTGAGTTCAAAAAGGGCCCAACATACAAAACACTTGAACACCCCGCAACCATCACCATCCCTTACAGTTCAATTAAAAACAGCTACCCAAATCCACCCAAATAATACACCTAAAAATACAAGTCAATCACCCAAACTAATGCACCCGTAGCATAACATAAATCAAAACATACAGTTATCGCGTAAACCTGTACCTCTAGTCTACTATTATAAATCTTAAAAAGTCCGCCGCCGCCGCCCACGCCGCCGTCGGGGTTACGCAGTCGGTGTTACTCCCAAAA